TGCGGCGAATTCATTTACGAAAATGGATGTTAAAACGGACGCGAACTTCTCATCTCAACCTTTCAGACCTCACTCGCCGACTTTAACGAGTTGTCGCTTCTTATACATTTACGTTCTTTGCTTGAAATCTTCCTGTACTTTGCTCGTTGGAAGTACGTATGGCAACTCCAAGGATGCCAATAATAAGTTGGCAATGCGGCTACAAATGTCATTCTATTTCCAGTTTTCTTGTGTCAGCTATTTTGTGTCAGCAAAAGAGGTAAAAATCCGATATTTTGTGAGAAATTTCTAAATTTTGCAATTTTTTAGGTTCTTCCGATAATCATTTCAAGTTATGTTCATATATAAACTGGCGCTAAACTATTGCGCAATATTGCTGCTTTGCGAGACAACTTAGGTTTTGACTACGCACAGCTGCGCTAACGAATGTACACAATTGTGTGGTATCTAAATCTATTGGAAGGAAGCTTCGTCTGAATTTGCGATAGAATAGGGTTCATTAGTCAAATATTATATGCTGTATTCTGTGCTCTAAGAACTGTTTGAAAAAATATCAACGAATATGACCGACCCCGATATTCCCAGTGTTCCAGTAACCACTTTGGCTTGTTTGACAAGTTTATCGGACTTGCTAAGTGAACTTCCAGTACCAGACACACTGGCAAGTGTCACGTCGTTAAATAAATCTTTGCTATTCCATACACTAGTGGCCAAGGAATCCAATAATTTGTTGTCCGTGCGGGACGATAACCTCGTGAAGCAATTGGTTCATGCCATCGAACAAACGAACTCTGAAATAATAGAACTTAAGCCCCAGTATGCCATTGAACAATTCGGTACAAATATAAATACTTACCCAGAGTTGCTTCAAGGCATTTACAGCTACAGTCCCACTGTGTTTAATACCAATAATGGTAAAATAAATCAACAGAAAAATAATAGACAACAAACGCATCAGCAACAGCAGCAACAGTGGTACAATGTAGTACACGGGCAAAGAGGCGGCAACGCAACGTTGCAATCTGAGGAACTGCAACGTCTGCAACAGCAAATGCCATTGAATGTAAATAACGCGACTATAACCAACAATCCATCAAGTGGGAGTTTTCCAACAATGGAAATGACTTCCATGCAAAATAACAATTTCGATGTCCAAACTCCTATCAATCATAAGGTCCAACATCCAATAACGGACCTAAAGCAAACACTTTCTGGGGAACAGCAGAAAGCTGGCTTTGAAAATGTAGCGTGTTTCCAGAATACCAGTACTTTTTCGACACCGTTGAATTCGACATCGTATGAAACAAAACCAAGTCAAATCGAACAAAAAGCTAATCCAGCGATTCCGAACACATTGCAACCAACTGTAATTCACACCCAGAACTATCAAAATCCGAATTCCGCAATAATGCCAGACAACCCTTCCACAGCAATGCCGATTGCCAATGTCCAATACCAAGCTAATAATGGTTATACCCAACAGAATGTCACTGTCCAAGCACCAGCCGTGCAAGCTCCAGCTGTCCAAGCAACAGTTATCCAAGCAACGGTTGCCAAAGCGACAGCTGCCCGAGCCATAGCTGCCCAAGGAATGGCTGTTCAAGCACCAGTTGTCCAAGCAACAGCTGCCCAAGGACCAACTGCCCGAGGACCAACTGCCCGAGGAATAGCTGCCCAAGAAACAACTGCCCGAGGAGTAGCTGCCCAAGCAACAGTTGTCCAAACATCAGCTTCCCAAGGAACAGCTGCCCGAGCAATAGCTGCCCAAGGAACAGTCGCCCAAGCATTGGCTCTCCAAGCACCAGCTGTCAAAGCAACAACTGCCCAAGCACCAGTTGCTCAAGCACATCCTGTCCAAGTTCCAGCTATCCAAGCACCAGCCTCTCAAGCTCGACCTGCCCAAGCATCAGCTGTCACAGCAACCGCTGTCAAAGCACCCTCTGTTACAGCACCCGCTGTTCAAGCTCGACCTCTCCAAGCGCCAGCTGTCCAAGCTCCAGATGTCCAAGCACCAGCAGTCCAAACATTAGCTGCTCCTGTAGCAGGTGAAGAAAAACAAAGTAGCGACCCGACTTTGGTACCTATTAAGAATGAATTCACAATGCCCGATCCCAAGCCTAATACCTGTGTGAGCAGTAAACCCAGCGAGAAATCCAATGTTCGGGTATGTATAAATCGACTTAAAGAAAAGGATGCATCTCTCATGCAACAAAGCATAAAACAATTTGTAAAGAAATCACCAGAGTCTGCAAGAAAATTTGGTTTGGTAACTCCAAATAAAGTGGAGCCACCACCACCAACACCAACATCGGAGTCGGGAGATGCCCAAGCCCCACCTTCAACAGATCAGAAATTTAAAAAGTTAACTACGAAAGCAGCTGAAAACGACGATGCGTTTACTTTAATGAAAACGAACGAAAAACCACTCGCAATGAAAAGAAAGCTAGCGCCTTCAGTTGACGAAGTTCCACCCGAGCAAATACACTCTCAGCCGAAATTACGTTGTGTTGAGCGCATCGTTTCTAAACCATCTGCGAAATGTACGAAGGACGAAATATTGCGATCACAAACCTATCAACAATTCATGCGAAATTTGGAGCAAATCATTGAAACGCTGGACGACACAGAAGTTCCGAATTTCGATACGGATGAAGTAGACGAGAATATCGAATGTATATCATCTAGAATGCTTAATATAATGAGCAACGATATCGCCAAGTTAAAAGCAAAGTATGTATTAGATGTTATACCGAAAACTAAGTTGGCTCAACTGGTCAATTACGCTATGCGAAATGTATATTTGGCCAAGAATTATTCGGCAAGCCCAGACGATGAAGACGATATTATGGACGACGAAATAATGGAAAAGATTTTAAATGGAATCGAAGCTTGCCTCCTTATTTGCAACATTTATTGTACTTCGAAAGATATTAAATTTTTGCAAGAGGATAACATCACGCTAATCATAAAATTTATGCATTTTCAATTTCGTGAAACAATCTTTCCATCATATGATCCCGTATATACAGTAAAAAGTATGAAAAAGGCGGATAATCGTAAAAAATCGAGAATTTATCAAAATTATAATCGCAGCTTGCAGTTGCTGTACTCAAAAGCCACCGAGCTAATGAAGGTCTTCGTTACACTCTTCGATAGGTATATATTTGTGGACACCATCATTTTGCCACTTTCCACCTTATCGATCGAACCGTTCTTTGTTGATAACATCGAAACCTTGCAATTTGTGTGCCTGGAATTAGTCACAACCCTATTTCGAAAGGAGGAATATGTCAAAATTCGCAGCAGTATACTAGGTGATATATTGACCTCCATTGATCGTTTGCCGTCTTCGAAGAAAAACCTCCGACCTTTCAAATTAATCAACAATAGCGGCAACATTCAAATGGTCACCGCATTAGTACTCCAACTAATTCAGTGCGTTACTATTTTACCCGATGTTATGAATAGTAATTCGCATAACAAAAGAAAATCATTACCACAGTATGGTGAACTGGCGAGTCAGGCATCTAGTTTCTCCACACAAACCGATCGTCAAAATATCGATGTGATTGTTTTGAAAAAATACGATGTTGCTATAAGCATAGGTGGCAATTTTCTAACAACATTTCTAAATAAGTGCAAATCTCGCTCCAATGAAACTGATTTCCGTCCAATATTTGAGAACTTTATCTACGATCTTCTGGCAACCGTAAACAAACCCGAATGGCCGTCATCCGAATTATTGCTTTCACTTTTGGGAACCATGCTTGTACGTTATGTTTCTGATAAATCTATAGAACAAAGTATACGCTTGGTTTCCTTGGATTATTTGGGCATTGTGGCTGCGCGTTTGCGTAAGGATGCCGTGGACTCTCGCTACAAAGTGAATGTCATAGACTCAATGATCAGATATATTAAAGTGGAGCAAGAGAAAGAGGGAGATCTGCCATCTAGCAACAACAAAGTCGAACTAAAAGAGGACGAACGGGTGGAGTTTCTGCAAAAGATCCTGTTAGATTTCCTAGCCGCCAATGCACACGTGGACAATCCTATTTGGGATTATGCTCGACACTTCTATTTGACCCAGTGGTATCGTGATATAATTTATCAGCGTCGTAATATCAATGAGGGCGCAAAGCGCGATACATCACGAAAGAAGAGCTCACGTAAAAGGCGCACAAATGCCGATCTTTCCGGCAGTGATTCAAATGATGACAGCGGTGATGATATTAACTTCGTTAATGTTGATAGCCGGGTTGGCGGTGATTGTACTATGGGCGATCAGGAGCTGAATATGGAACGATTCAATTTGCTTGATAAACGCAAGCAATGCTTAGTGAATAATATAAATCCATATTCAACACTGGGTGATTCCAATCACGCACAACATATTAAAACATATATCGATTATAATAATGCACATTTAATAGCACAATATTTGGCCAGCAAAAGACCATTTAGTAAGTCATTTGATGGCTACCTCAAAAAGATCATATTGGTTGTAAATGAGCCGTCGATTGCTATAAGAACGCGTGCGATGAAATGCTTAGCTAACATTGTCGAAGTTGATCCCATGGTACTCAGACGCAAGGATATGCAAATGGGCGTAAACCAAAAGTTTTTGGATGCAGCGATATCTGTGCGTGAGGCGGCCGTCGATTTGGTTGGCAAGTTCGTGCTGAGCAACGAAGAGCTAATAGACCAGTATTACGATATGTTATCGACTAGAATTTTGGACACTGGTGTGTCGGTGCGCAAGCGTGTAATAAAAATTCTTCGCGATATATGCATAGAGTATCCGACGTTTCAGAAAATTCCGGAAATATGTGTGAAAATGATAAGACGCGTCAACGACGAGGAAGGCATACAAAAGCTGGTGACGGAGGTTTTCATGAAAATGTGGTTTACGCCGTTGCATAAAAACGACAAAGATGGCATACATTTGAAGATAAATCAGATTATAGACGTGGTTAATATAGCACACGACACAGGCACAGCTTGGTTGGAAGGGCTGTTAAATAGCATATTTCAGCCCAAAGAAAGTAATGCGAAGGGCGATGATAGTATGAAAGACAATTTGCAGAAGAAAACAGAGCCGCCGGCTGACATTTTGTTGTCGTGTCAGCAGTTGGCAGACGGTCTGGTGGGGCGTTTGATCGAGCTAGAGGACACCGACAATACGCGTATGTTGGGCTGCATAACCACCCTGCATTTATTGGCGAAGGTACGTCCGCAACTGCTGGTGCAACACGCAATCACTATAGAGCCTTATCTGAACATCAAGTGTCACCCGACTACAGCACCAAAATTTATTTGCGCTGTGGCAGATATACTGGAAAAGGTAATAGTCTACAATTCTAATATTATAATACTTCATAAAATCTAAAATTGTATTTTCTTTTGCAGGTTGTACCACTTGTTAATAACGCTAGTGAGTCGTTTTTGGCTTCGCTGGAAGAGCATTTGATGTTACTGGTTGTTTCACTTAATCAAGCTGTAGTAAAGAGCTGTGTCTCTTGCTTGGGTGCAATTGTCAACAAAATAACGAAGAACTATGCGTTGATAAAAGATTGCTTTCAAAAGTTTTATCGCATTTTAGATCAAACTAGAAGTCAAATATTGCAAAACAGACAGATTAATAATTTAAGTGCAGCTATTCGCCGCAGCCTCTTCACTATTGGCATACTAATGCGTTATTTCGATTTCAAATCGAAAGAGGTCATAGGCGAGTCCAATTGTTTGTCACCAACAATATGCAACGATGTGTTTGATTGTCTGATGTTCTTTGCACAATATCAAAATTACGATATACGCAAGGAAGCGCTGATTGCCTTGGGCTCATTTTGTGTGATGAACGATGACTATCTGACGAATACTAAGTTGAAGCGCTACTACTGCGACTTGCTGCTTTCAGAAACGAGTGATGCTGGCATTAAAATTATATGTTTGCGCAACATTTGGATCTATCTGACTGAGTCGGAAATGCATATGTACAACAAAGAGAAGGATTGGGACAAACAGTCGAAAACCGAAGATCTTAAAGAAATGAACGACGTGTCATCGGGCATGTCAAGTCGTATCATACAACTATATCTACAAGAAATCTTCGAATGTTTCCTAAACAGTGATGATAATGTGCGACTGTGGGCTGTTAAAGTTATACAGATCGTGCTCCGGCAAGGCCTTGTACATCCTGTTAAGACTGTGCCATATCTTATATGCTTAAGTACAGATTCGAAACTCGAATCCGCGCACAGAGCAGATGCCTTGTTGAAAGACATCGACAAGATGTACAATGGGTTTGTGAATATGAAAGCGCAGTTGGGACTACAGTTCAGCTTTAGATTACAGCGCATTTTGCAGCAGAATGCCAAAGGCAAGGGTAGCAAAGTTATTCGTGGCTATGTTAAAAGAAACTTGGATACAATGCCAACGGCGCTGAATGATTTCTTATACACACTTTTGCGTGCGGTTAAGACGCAGCGACGCGCGCTCGTTCAAACGATCGTAAAGCAATTTGATGATCAAAAAACTTCGCTGCAGCAAATGTTATATGTAGCAGATAATTTGGCTTACTTCCCGTATGCGGTGCAAGATGAGCCACTCTATTTGATACATCAGGTCGATTTACTCATTTCAATTGTTGGTACTAATTTGCTCACGACTTTCAAAGAAAATCTTAAACCTAGCGTTAATGTGGGGGGATGTTCTAGAGGACGATGATGATGAAGATGATCCTGAAGTGTTATTCAAGCGTCTGCCAGAAAATGCATTTGAAATGCAAAAGTGTATAATGTCTTCACAAGCGTGTATGCTGCTATTAATTCTAAAGGATCATCTAAAGCATATGTATAGTCTAACAGATAGTAAAATATCCAGGTACTCACCGTCGGAACCGAAGTTGTACGAGAAGGCAGTAGTTCGTAAAACCGTTCAAGATTTTAACCCTAAAACAACAATAGATATTATTAAGAAACAACAGGAAACGATGTTAGCTTCCGATGTTGCAAACAGTAAAATCAATTTAAATGACGACGAAAGAATGGATCTGGTTATAAAATATTTAGACTTTAAAAAACTCATGCTTAAACTGGATCCCGACGATGAGGATTCAGATGACGAGAGTCGCAATAAATCGAAACTCAATACAACAGCTAATACGTCACAGCTGAACTCGAGTTCAGCGAGTGCAAATAAGTCTACAGATGACAGCTGTTTAGATGTGGATAAATCGATGAATCGGGAGAATTTGACTTAATTAAGATTTGTGACTATAGTAAGATGATGAGTAATATAATGAAAATATATATAATCATGTACAAACATACTTTCATAAATAAACAAAAAAAAAATTCAAACAAAACGATTTTAATCCAAATATTCGTTTAAATTATGTAACTAAAATTTAAAATTATTCTAAGCTTCTTGTTTGCTTCTTGTTTGGCGCTGTAACCGTCTAGACGATTTTGGCTCAGTCGTGGCATGGGGTATGGTCGCTCTTCTGGGTATGCAGTTACAAGTAGCCCACGAGGAAGTCGTATTTCAACGAGTCCGAAAGATGCCGCTTAGGCCACGCTGCAATCGGTCGCAACGCAAGCTATGTGGCAGCGACACGGGGAGTTGAAAAGGGAAACCCGTTTCTTTGCGTAACAAAAATAGAGAGAGAGAGAGAAAGTGAGTGAGAGAGTGAGAGATGCCGAAGTCCAGAACATACTTAAATTATAGAGGGCCATGTGCCAGTAAAAGAACCCGAGCGAACGCGAATAGTTTGAACGAAGGCAGTAGTCAAATGATTTCAAGATCAGGGGTAGTTCCTGCAGAGGCGAAGGCGATAATGTATAGGGACTATCCTATAAAGGAGATGAGAACAGCAACAATGCGGTTTTAAAAGTAAAAGGACCTCAAGGTCGACAACATACCGACTGAGTTGCGAAGAGCTGGTACCAGCTGTTACGAAAAATTTACTCTGGTAAATACATAGAGATTGAATTATCGGTGTACATATTTTGGAAATCCAAAAGAAGGGATATTCTGTTGTTTCCAAAGGATATCCTGAGATTGCAGCGCCAAGCCTTGCCAGCCAGTAGTTTGCAGACCATTAGTGCCCTCCTGGCGTTAGAAGTGATCACACCAATATGTGCCTTTCACAGAAGTTTGGAATTCAGCATAAAACCTATGTACTTAACTTCAGTGGCGACCCCATTCCTACGCATCAACCCCTTGCTTTATAGGTGAAAATCTTTAAGAGTTTGTCTACAACTAAGCTTCATCGCAGAGGAGATAACACTCCTTCCTGCAGACACACTCTTCTTGTTTGTAGCTGTGCCAAGCTGTCGGTAATGTCGGTTTAAGCTTACCTGGTGTGAGATAGCCTACTCATTCGTCTGCGGATAGTTGCCTGCACGCCAACAGATGGTACTTTGAGCTCCGTAGGGAATTGAAAAGCAGAACCCTCAATCGACGAACGAAATTTACGCTCTACAAATCATGATCCTTTTATATGGCGCGGAAACACCGATGATGTCGACTAAATATAAGAGATACTTCGCCGACCTAAACGGGGTTAGATCGCCGAAACAACAGCCCTTGGTCGGGTAAAACCCGAGTCATTCCGGTACGTAGAACCGGCTGTCTGGACCCGACATCTTACCGACAGGCCCTGAACGGCATTCACAGGGAGTCAGTCTCGAGCTATGTAGACTCTAGACCTGTGAATGCCGTTCTAGGCATACCACCCCCGGACACAGACGAGACGGAGCTTCATCTGCCTCGGGAGACTCGCACAACTTCGCTCCGGCTACTGCAGCAGGTTAAACTCCTACCTGAGTAGATTGAATGAGGATGCACCGAATAAGTGTCCGGCATGCGGAGAGACCCCACATGACTCGAAACATCTCTTCGCATGCCCGGAAAACCCGACAACCCTAACGGCCTTGTCCCTGTGGACCAACCCCACAGAAGCTGCACGCTTCCTAGGGTTGCCGTTAGTGGAACTTGACGACAACGACTGAGATACCATCCGTCCTGGGCGGGGTTGTTGTAGCCGCTACAACAACAACAACAACAACTAAATATAAGATGGATTTCGCCGACCTAAACGGGGTTAGATCGCCGAAACAACAGCCTCTCCGAACTTTCTCGCTTTTTCACTGCAAGGAGCCTTGCCCTATCCCCTGCGAAATCCTCGGCAACCCTTTTCACCACTTGGACGAAGGAGGTCAGACTGCAACTGGGTATTCACGTCGATGGCGTAACAATACCAACGGTGAATAACCCAAAAATCCTCGGAGTTACCTTCGACAGTCTGCTCTCCTTCTAGGCGCATACAACCGCAATTGTCAACAAAGTACAGAGCCGCAACAATATCCTCAAGTCGCTGGCCGGCAGCACTTGGGGCAAATATAAAGAAACGTTGTTGGCAACATACAAGGCAATTGGCCGGCCGGTTCTAAACTATGCAGCGCCCGTATGGTCGCCGGGGACTAGCAGGACGCAGTGGATGAAGCTTCAGACCTGCCAAAACACGGCATTACGAACCGCGACAGGATGCCTCCTGATGACGCCCCAACACCACCTACATGACGAGGCCCATCCCAGTAAAGGAGCATAACTTAATGCTCTGCAAGCAGTTCCTTGCTGGGAGCCACAGACGTGGCCATCCCAGCGGACAGCTGCTCGCAGAAGAGCCCTCGCCACGGACGTCAGGAGGCATCTTTACGAACTGACGGACGAAGTCTAGAGGTTTATCAAACAACCTCTGGACCCGTCAACCTACCGACAGGCCCTGAACGGCATTCACAGGGAATCAGTCTCAAGTTATGTAGACTCCCGCCCTGTGAATGTCGTTCTAGGCACACATCCACCGGACGTGGACGGGACAGAACTTTGTCTGCCTCGGAAGACCCGCACTACAATAGCCCAACTTCGCTCTGGCTATTGCAGCAGGCTCAACTCCTACTTGAGCAGAACCAACGAGGATGTGCCCAACCAATGCCCGGCATGTGGAGAGTCGCCACATGACGCCCGGCACATCTTCACATGCCCTGAGAACCCCACTCAGCTAACGCCCCTGTCCCTATGGACAGCCCCTGTGGAAGTAGCACACTTCCTGGGCCTCCCCCTAGCTGAAATTGACGACAACGTTGATGGATGAACCGCCCCGAACGGGGCTTAGTAGCCGCTACAACAACAACAACAACAACTAAATATAAGAAAGCCTTGGAAGCTTTTGAGAGAAGTATTCTACCCGTGGTCCATCTTGTGTGTACGAGCTTTTTAACGACAAGTACATAGTTAAGCGCCTAAAAATACCCAGTAGATAATTTCAGGAGTTAAAAGCCCTCCTGAGAGTCAAGAGGCCTTCCACTCTACATTCTTTGCTCTTTTATTTTCTGTATGGAGTGGCACATATTGAAGGGCTTCTTTCGCTACCCATGGAAGGCCTTCCAGAAGGGCTTTTATATGATACACTTCAGAAGGCCTTTAAGAGCGGTTCTTTGAATGTTGCTTTAATTTATAAAAATCATATATTCTTGAAGTATTTGCTTAAGGTTTATGTAAAATCTGCGTTTTTGCAACTTCAAATGTTTATTGAAATTTATTTGTAATGCTAAATAGTATAAATTTATGCATTCGCGAAAATTGTGAATGGATAAGCCTTTCTAGAAGGCATGCAAGGAAGCACTTTTTTCAGCCCTTCTTGGCTAGGCCTATTAGAATGGCTTTACTTAAGAAAGCCTACATAAATTATCCACTGGGATAAAACGCATGAATGAGGAAACAATTCAAAGCTTCTTTTGATCTTCACTGATAGTATCTAATAGAGGAATGAACACCGATACCCTAAAATAATCTTCACAAGTTCCTTAGCTATAGTATTCGCCTAATTTTTGACGGCTACCTGTTTTTGATAATTCCTTGTGGACGTCAAGCTCTTTCCGAATTTCGTTCACTGCTCCAAAATCTGAGAGAATTACAGGCATCGGTAGTTATGGAGGCATTTAGATAAAGAAATTTCATCTCATTTAGAACTTTTTACCCAAGAGCGTCTCCTGTGAGGGATAACTCTCTGTCAGTTTTACCATTTTCTTTAGCGGTCCTAGAAAGCAAGTGATGTACTCTCTTCTAAGTAGTTCATAGTTTTCGGAGTCGTTATCTTTTGTAGTACAATACTTTGACAGTTCACTAAAAGCATCCAAAAACTTAACAAAATCTTCTCTTATGCAGGGCTTACCAGAAGAAAAATCGATGTGGTGGAGTATCAAGCTGTCCGGTAAAGATTGAGGACCTGAGTCATGAATCCGATGAGCCGCAACTTTTAAGTTAACCATAAGAAATCGATTTTTGCTACTCCAATTACAAGATTTTGCTTCGATTTGGCTTATAACGGGAAAAATCTTTTTAGAGAACAACTCGAGCTTACCCCATTTAGAAAATGGAACCAAATTTCATGCACAAGTTATACATTACCTGTCCTTTTCCTGGTAGATCTGGAGATTCAGCAAAAACGAATGTGTAGAACTCAGTCCACCTTTTTAAAAACTTTGTACAAAACCTCACTTCATTGACATTCAATGAGCTGATTTTAAGTAGGTGTACTGGTGCAAGTTTCTCTCGAAGACGCTTTCTCAAAGTGAAGCTTCAGGAATTTATCTGCCGAATCGATTTTGAACCTAAGCAGGCCCTGAAATTTCTTTCATTCTGCTTTGGAGGTATTTTCAGAAGGACAGATGGCAAAATAGTTAGAAATACTTTTGTTATTCTTGCACAAAAGTCTTAGAGAAAAAGCTCTCATTATCCACTCGTGGTGAAAAGCTATTTTGAGAGAAAACACTTGTCTCTCATTCAGCTCGCTTCCCTCCCACAATCGCAATAGCTGTGCGGGCAAAGCATAGGCGGGCCATACGAGAGATCCGAGTTCGAGTCCTCGTGCAGCAGATTTATTTATTTTTATTTAAATTTTTTTCTTTTTGCATCCAATTTTTTTTATTAGTTTTTAGATTTTATTTTTTTTAATAGAAATATAAATTTTTTAATTAAATTAAATTTTTAGAAACCCATTTTATGTATTTTTTTATAATTTAATACTTCTTCTTTCTCAATTTGATTTTAATTTTCTTTTAGAACGAATATTGTTTTTAAATCTGATTAAATTTTTAGGAATTTATTTAATTTTTTTCTGCTTTAAATTAAATTTCTTTCCTGTTTTAGTTAAAGTTTTAGATCTCATTGCTAAAAAAATATATTTTTTAGATATATTATATTATTTATTTTCCCTTTCCCTAATTTCATTTTCTTTTAGATTTCAGATTGTGTTGTTTTGAGAGGACAAATATATTTGTATTCCATTCAACTTTAT